CCAGATCGTTCTCGAACACTAACGCGCTGGTCCGGCTGGTCGGTTCTAGCCGATTCTAGCTTGATGGCGTCAGCGGCAGATCGTTCATCGCAACGTTGCCGCTGTTTATGTTTAATATTATGACAATTAGATTTTTTTTGGAATTTTCGGAAGCTTCTCTGATTTTTGCAGTTTGTATTTTTTAAATTAAAATCGTTGTGAGAGCTACCAGAATTGCCTCCGCGAGCTACCGGTAGCTCGCGATCGACAGGTTGGCGACCACTGCTGTACACCGATTCCAGCAAGTTTTGAAATAAGAAAGTTATGGTCGACTTTGTAAAATCAGTATACACTGAGTCCACCTGGGCTCGATTGTCTAATGCAGTTGAAATGTAGTCGGCATATATTACTAAATTTGATTCTATGTTCCTCTTGGAGAAAAAACCATACTGGCATTCTATGATTGATGACTTGATATAGTAAAACATACAGTATCGTATTTCGATAACATGCTAACACAACACGATCAAATGAGTAAACAGTAAAGAAAACATCTGCGAATTGAGCTATTACTTGTAGTGATTGAATACGATAAAAATACTTCAATCATTATTTTGACCGATATTTCACATTACATACAGGTCGTGAAAATACTTTGCTGAGATCGCTCGAGTGCTTGGCTATCAATTAAAGTGGCATATTTCATTTCAGGCTCATTAACTAAAGTTTCTATCAAATTTCCCTTTTCTGCTAATGAAGCTTTTTTAATTTTTTCATACCAACATTACGTTCAAATAAATTTATTCAACAATTTTTCTTGGTAAACAAATTGTATGCAAAATTTATTTATTTTTACTAACAAAAAATAAAAATCTGAATACATCCTGTGCTATTAACACAGTATAAATCACCATGATGAACAATATTAAAAAATTTGAAAAAGTATTTCACATTATTCAATGACAAAAAGTTGTCATTTTGATGTTGAAGACTTCTTTCGAAATTGAAATTTTCAAATTAAATATCCTCACATAGCACAGGTATGCTGTTTTATCCGTTATTATGTTTTATATATAT